CTATATGTTCTTCATCTAGGACAGAATTTCGACTTCTACGAGCATCTGTAAACCATACGCATACACTGGAATGAGATAGAGCTTCTTTTCCATGGGCTAACTGAAGAAAGTGAACCGTTTTATTGATTTATCTCCATTTTAAAATCATAGAAAATTAAAACGCGACAATGCTCTCGCGTCAGCTCCATTTTTATTTCATTGAAAAGTTATTATACAATACATAAATTGTTATCACTTATTGCCACAAACTAACGTCTGCTAACATAAAAGATTTCACATTTACATATCTAACAAACAATTATTTTGAGCGTATATTTGCCTTATCCTATCTCACTACGTTCAGAGTTAACTAAGTACTATAAGTTCTTATTGTCCTTGCTATGCATTAGCAGAATTCAGTAACTCTCTATATCAAGAATTTGGTGACGATAGTTAATACACTACTGAATTATAAGTCTTTACATTGAAGGTGTACTTAACGACGCGATTTATAGATAATAGTAAAATAATAAAATGCTAAGCAATTACTTGAAGAAAGATAATATCTCAAGAAGCAGTTGACAACAAATGTATGAGGTGCCACTTGCACATGTTTTTATGTTGTGTACTATGTTTCAAAATTTCTGACTGTAGTAAAACTTAATGATAATATTTTTCCCAACTTCAGTGTAGTGAAATTTACGAAGCAAATAAAGAAATGCTTAGATATGCACCATATTCGGACAATAAGATTAAGTGCGTACATTATAAAGAGTATTAAGGAGTTCACGCGAATAAAGGGTAGAAAAAAACTAGTTTAATGTATAGTAGTTTTTATCTTGTTGTTTATTAAAATACAGATGAGTTTCTTTTGAAAAATTAAATATATCTTTGCAGCTTCATAAGAAAACGTTTTATAATTTTATGAATAAATAAAAAAAAAGTTAATCTATTAAAATCTAGGAACAGTAGCTGGTTTAAAACTGTTTTTCTTTTAATATTAAATCTATAAAAGTAATATGAAAGATACTCTGAAGAGAGCTTATCAACTGTTAAACATCTGTAATCTTTTCCATAAAACAATGATGTTCAAGGTTAAATTTAATAATTAATGAGACGATGATCTTCGAACATTTTTTATGTCACTTAAAACACTCCTTTATGCATTAACATGATTAAACTTTCTCGAATGGAATAGCATCCGACAAGAAAATTTTTTCTTAATTCATGAAGCTATTTCAGTCATTTAACATCGCAGTTTATAACAGTTAATTATAACGAAACTGTTATGAAAAAGTCACTTGCGGCTGAGGAAGTATTTTAATGTTAATAACATAACCGGTTTCTTAAAGGCGACAAATGTAATTAATAAGGTGTTAGAAGAAAAATTCACTGTCCAATTTGCCAATAATATGAAAAAAGAACAACAAAAAAAATTGTCCTCTACCTTTGAAAAGTGGCGCCTATCAGCTTAATCATGCTTCTTAGCATTCCTTATAATAAATTACTCTCATATAATATGGACTTAATTTATTTTAACAATTAATAAAGAATTAACTGTTAATTTACTAAATACGCCAAAACATATTTCATAATTAAGAAAAGTATGTTCATGTTTTGATTGCATGAGTTGTTTTGATTGCATGAGTTCGTTTGTTTAGGGTGAAATTAAAAAAAAAAAATTGCTCTCAAATGGATAGAACGTCCGGATGGTTTTGCCTCGATTATAACAGTATAACATTTATGTTTATCCACCATATCGAGAAAACGGTCAACTCCAGGTATTTAACATTTTAAATGTATTAAAATAATATCAATTAAAAATACATACCTATCGTAAATTTCAGAGATAAAAAATGTACAATTTCAGCTTTCGTATGAGCAAAGGGTTTTGCACAAATTTTACTGAACTAGAAATTTCAGCTTTGTAATTTCAGTTTTATATCGCAATCTTTTATTATGGTGAATCAAACTGATTTTTGCTCTTATTTTTGTAAGAATTTGCTATTTGTTTATTATTAAATGAGTGATGTAGAACCGTTTCCTTCGGAATATCTGCAACTGTCATTGAACAAATTCACTACCGATTTAGAAACATCAGACGGACACCTGAGTTTCCTTCATATACGGGGCCCACCAGCGGCCGAGCGGTAAAGTCGCTGAACACTGGTAGTTCGGACCGAGGTTCGAATCCCGCGAACTGGCTGGCTGCATGGGCGTTTTGCGCTTTTCCCCATGTGTAACGTGTATACGAGCCAGTTTCCCTTAGAAAGTCCTCCACGAAGGCATCCCTCCCCTTAGGCAGATAGCCCTAGTGTGCTTTGCCGTATTCTCAATACACACACACACATCAAAACTTCAAGGATTGTTTTACATATGAAACTGTTTTATATTAGGGCTAGTATTATTGGCGTTAATTCTATGTTCTCATCAGAAATGTTTACTTCACTATCTACTGCAGCTGTGAAAGAAAACCCTTTATTCGCCAACTGTTTGACATATCATTTACAAATCGAAACTTTCACCTCGGTAAACTGAAACTTTTCATTGTAAATGCAGATAAGAATTATCTCTAGACTAAATAATATTTCATTTCTTTCAATTGACAATGGTTATAGATATATCCGTTATCATTTGATATAATTTAGCAGGATATTTTTAAATAACGCAATTATCGCTTTTGAAGTACAAACCTAAATAATTTGTTCCTAGATACAATGCCTTTTTAAATACAGTAATCAACAGTGATTTTGTTTCCACTCTTCATCGAAACTTATTCATTTTATACAAAAACGTAAAATAATATTCATAAATACGATCAGAAATGAGAGGTCTCTCATTTATGCGAGATATTCATATTCTTGTTTATTGTCCATAGCTAAATTAAAACTTTCAAAATATTTAAATTGTAATGCTGGTTTTACATAATTAATTTTAACCACAGAGTTAAATTTTAGTTACAATATTTTCTTTTTTTTTTTTTTTTTTCTTTTTTCTGTACATTAGGAGATATTCAGTTATTTATTTTTTTATTATGAATTAGTTGGCTTATTTAAATTACTTAAGAATATTTCAACTGCTGTTTACTATAATGCTCATCACTACTTCGGTTTTTTTCACATGAGCAAGGTGAATACCAATCAGTTTCCTTTAAAATGTCCACCACAAAAGGCATCTTTTAATGGTAGCTACAACTGTGTGCTTTAAAGTAATCAGTCATTCAGTTTAATCTACCAGTCTGCACGATTCTGCTATGTTCAGAAGCTTATATGAATATCATGTAGACTCTGTCTACCAGATTGCAGAGCGAGTTATCGCTTTAGTCTGAAATAAATGGCGAAGTTATAAGAAAGTTAAAATAACATTTTTATTTAATTCTTAAATGGCCAGAAAGCACTGCTTGTGCTACAGACGAACTTCCGCTTTTTGCAGATATTTCACATAAAATAAGATGAAGCTAATTTCAATGTAGGCAACGTAGTCTGAGACTTACCCAGGCTACTAAGCTGGCTCAAGATAATTACGGCGAGTATTTTAAAACGTCGGTTATCAAAGTGCTGAAACTGGAATAACTTTGCAAGAGCTGGCAGTAGCAAGTAACTGTAAGGAGAGGTCGCATGAAATATTCATTCTAAAGTATCCAGAATCACGGCTTAAGCACAAGACTATTAATTTGCATTTTGGTGAGTAATACGGAAAGAAGAAGTTCAATTCATAATAACTGGTTCACTAATATAAAAGCCTAAAATTCAGTCAACTACTATTATCAGCTACTATTTATCGTAATAAAATACATTAGGAGAATCACTGTTAGCTAACATAAGACTGCTGAATAACACGACCTGAGTTCATATCGTGATAGAAAGGCTTCCCGAGTAGGCTATTTCGTATTTTTCCTAATATGTAATGTGAATGTCAACTAGCTTTCCTCAGAATGATCTTTCAAAACAGCATTTCTTCGTCCCCCCATCCACTACAAATTCCCAATTATTCGGCCTAAATCTGTAGTTAGCATTAATTTTCTTACAATTTATAAAACGTTTTCAATAAATACAGTACTCAGAATACAGAAAATTTCCATATTATTTTTTTCAAAAATGCTGCTTCGATAGCATTGGATAGCTTAAATGTTATCGTAACAGCATTTTTGCGTATTGATAATAACACTTGCTACATTTTGATGCTGAGTCGGCTGCTGAGGAGAATATGTCAACAAATACTATAAAAACAGAATAATTTCACAGAACATGAGTTATCATTCTAAAATGATAATTTGCGCAAAGAAAGTAATTTGCTTTGGTTATGTTAGCCTTCTAATTTTAATGAATCCGCAACATTCTGATGGAAGCATTGTAATACACTTCATTTTTTGTTAAAATTAAGAATCAGTTGTATAATAAGTTTATCTCGCATAAAAAGAGTTAATGTGAATTTTTATTTTATTTTATTCGTTAAGTTGTTAATGCATATTTCCTGCAATACTGAATTTATTAACTTTCGAAAAAAGGCCTAAGAAAAGCATTTCCATATTAATTGAAAAAAAAAAGAATCCTGAGTTTTTAAATCCGAAAATTCTTTATTTAGCTTTATTCATATTTTCTATCTATTTAGATTTTCAGTTATTCTCTGATTAAAATAAGACATTTGGTTCTTCTATAATGATAATTAAAATAATAAGACATTTGGTTCTTCTATAATGATAATTACAGAAAAATATTACTGAGGTGTATTAATGTAGCAACTAAACAGAAGTACACGTCACAATTTAAAATTTTATTTTTCAGCCAATAAATGTTTCCAGTTCTATTTTAAGTATGATTTTCTTACTTAAGATAAATACAGAATGTTAATGATACATAAATACCTTTTCGCAGCATGTTAATGATACAGAAAAAAATATTAATTGAATATGAGTTTCCCTAATCAAAATACTAGTATTAAAAACCGTCAAGGAATTTCAATTTTATCTTAACTTTCTTGATTTATCTTAATTCATGCTGTTAATTACTGTTTTGCACTAGGTGGAGAATCCAAATAGAAACAAATATACAGATTTGATTTATCATCAATCGCATGGAAGATTAAAGAATGAATTGAAAGGAACGTTGAATCTGAAAGGAACGTTTAGCAATTCAAAGCAGCAATATATAAAGTTTAATATGACTATAATAAAGGTAATAAATAAAATATACAATAACGTTTAATATGAATACGAGCAGCAATATATAAAACTTAATATGACTTTAGTTAGAATATATGTAATGTTTCTCCACTTTTATAGCCTTTAAAATAGAAGGTTTTTTTTTTTAAACTTGTTGGTTGTAAAATGGAATTTTAAATTTAGCTGCATACACTTCGTTCGGTTGTCATATCAATAAACGTAGTAAAATTATTTTGAAGAACAAAGTGAATTAGTATTATAATTATAATTACAATAGAAATAAGGACGGTTATCTTAACATTCTTATAATTACAGTAATATTAATTTTAATGATTACTTATTAATATTCTTTTTAGTAATGATGACTTTTTATTTACTTATATGTTAAGTCAATTGAACGGGATACATAACTTCACACCTCTAAATATTTGAAACATTTTTATTTATCATTTTATCATTGCTGTTTTACTGTATTTGATTTTTCTATAGAAAACCTTTGATTCCATTTTCAATTTATGCTAGGTTATATTAGATTCCAGTAAAATGACTAATGTTTCCGTTACAGATAAGAAAATTACGAAACCTCTATGCAAACAGATCGTTCAATCGTTGGCTTCCGAAGTCGAGAAGAACTTCTAAATGTTGTATATTATTCATACTCATAACATTTAGATACCGTCAGAAAGAATACAAACTTTATAATAAAGTAACTAAGTCCCAGAAAATAAATATATATAATGACAGTGTTTCAGATTTGTAGAGCATGCAATAAAAGTGATAATAAAATAATCACAAGGCTACTAAAAATAGCGTATTTGAAATCAGAGTTGTTGAAGTGAAATTTAAACGGATTGAACGCAATACATTTTTTGTATGTAATTTAGATATTATCACGTAAGAAGGTTTTTTTAATGTCCCAAATGTGTTTTACTTTTATTCGCACAGGATGAAGTTTATTACGATATATAACAAAAATATTATTTATTTTTAATGCATTTAATTAAAACTATGTAATTCAAAAACCGTTTTATTTTGTACCATAATATGGCGCAAGCGAAAAAAAAACAAAAACAACACCAATAATAATAATAATAATAAAATCATTGGCTTTAAGAATTAATTTAAATTAAAGAATTATTTCTTATTATATCTTCATGAGATTTACCCAGTCAAAGTTCAAATCTTTTAATTGAAAAATCCATTACTGTTAATAACTGCTGGATAGCTTAAAAAGTGAACAAGTTTTGAAAACGTCCGAAACATTTTGCCTGAAAGATGACATTTTATTTAAGGGTGTAAAGAACAACATTTTGTTTCTCCAGCAAAGATGAATACGTTAAGTAAATTCAAGATTAAATAAAAGAAAAGCTAAACCGAATTTTGAAAAGACAAAATTCTATGGAGTATTGCACTATCGTCGCGAATACGTACAAGTGAAATTCAACAAATCGAACAGCCAGAAGGGAGTTAAAATTAATTTCATGACTTGAAGAAAAACTATGTAAATCGAGGGAGTACTCCAAAGAAAATCTCAGGAAAAAGATAATATTCTTATAGTACTTTAGCTTATTTATCGATATTCTTGTGTCCTCAGTTTTCGAAATGAGTCGTTAGCTTCATCTGTATCTATATCAGTATTACCATGCGTGGTTACAAAACACTAGAACAGTGCTTTTTAAACTTTCTTCATTCACGATATCTTTTCCATCATTGAAATTTTTTCGTGATCCCAGATGTTCGTAATAGAATTAAGACTTTTTCCTCAATGGCGGGTCCTCAGACGACTTCGGCTTGGCAATATGAAGTAGTATATATATATATATATATATAATAGTAGTTTTAGGATTTGCATGAAGTATATAAAAATTAATGAAAACAATTTTAATGAGGCAGCTGTGCCTCCTTTTTGCAGCATAACAAATTAAATCTTGGTGCCATATTTGACACTGCTGTGGACTTAAAAGCGCGTTCAACATTTCTCAGTGTTGGAAACAATGAAAACCTGGCAATGAAACATTTGGATTTAATGAGCGTTGAAAAGGTCGTTTCACATAAATATGTAGAGCTGAAAGTCTGAAGAACATTTAAATACCATTTCAGAAATGGAAGGAAATTCAGTTCTAGCTCTAATAGAGAATTCAATCAAGATTTTGGTGAAAGTTCAAGTTTTGAGTTCCACGGTAGCTCTACAAATTCATTTGTGCTTAATATGACAGGCTGTTAATCTCATTGATGTCAGGCTGTTAATGTGGATTAATAGAATTTCCTTAAAAGTCTTACTAATGTCATTTCATTAAAGTCACGTAATTTAATTGAATTTCTAAGACCCCCATTTTGGATCGCGAACATTGTTTAAGAAACCTTTCGTTTAAGGCATCTTATACATATCATTAATATTAGAAAATAATTGCAACAGCTCGCATATACGTTGTATGGCAGTAAAAAATAAAGATTTACATATTTGGGCTATTATGCATCATAATCTACATAATTTTCTTACAAAAACTTCTAGTGTTGTGTCTACAGAGATAGATAGTTTAAAAACTCAAAAAAGGTGTTTATATACAGAATTATTAAATTCCATTTCGAATGCCTCTATTTCTTTAAATTGATGAATTATCAACTCCAAGAAACATCTACTGCGGTTTCTGTCTACGTAAGATTTATATATAAAAATAAAATGCAATAATGAATTCTTAGCAAAAAAAAAAAAAAAAAAAAAAAGAAAGGTCTTGCTAGTTTAATTAATTTATTGATAAATATTCCATACTACTTCAAAACGAAATTAGATATCTTTGTGGGAAACGTACTCATTCATGCGCAATTTTAACCTTTTGCCTGGGGGATTATCACATTCGTTAAAAAAATGCTCGAACTTTGCAAAGCTTTAAAATTATTTCATCGTGAGTTTAAGCAAGAGAAATACTTCAATACTATTGGCTTCTGAGCCACATCAACAATAGAACGGGCGAGGCTGATTACCCAAAAACAGAACAAACGAGATCGAGATGTAACAAAAGAAAAAGAGGGGAAGGGAATGGCATTCTTTATGCAACTTTCGCTAGAAATGGCTTGTCGATACGAAATCGAAACACGTTTTACTTTTTGCCTTTGGCAACGACAGCTCACTTTGCAGCTCTTTGCTGTTTATTTATTTATGTCTGATTCGATTCTAAATTTGTTTCGAACAAGGTTACTTGGTCACAAGAGCAATTTTAAAAAATGCAGACCCACGTTATGCTGACAGAGATGCGGTTTCTATCTGTAATGGTTAGACTTTTTAGACACACCCTATAATTTAAATATGATTTTCTGCCACATTTCAATACTGATCGTTGAACTGGTTGAATGCTTTTATGTCAATGGCAATTTGTCTCTTTTCATTAGAGTAATGAGTTCATTGCCGGCATCTTTTTATAGTACTAAATGGCCGCCAAGATTTATAATTCAGCTTTGAAAGCCGATACGTACCGTCTGTTGATGAATCAAGAAAATTACGTAATGTTCACGGAAACTCTCCACAGTTATTCAGTATCTCACATACGCAAAGAATGTTTCTTTGTCCAAATTAAAGTGGTGCATATTAAACAAAAACCTTTTGGTGATAGGAAATTCTTAAATCGCCGAATGGTGTAATTATTTATGCAGAATTATATATGCATCGACCGTTCTATGAATCAACCAAACAACAAAGTCAAAATGTGCTTCTGTACTTAACTTGGGTCGGTTGGGTGAGATAGTACTATCCAGGCAGAATTTTGGGCTTGAAGAAATTGCAGAAAAGCTTAATTTGCTTTAATATTGAAAGAAGAAGAGGATAAATATCATATTTCAAACATATAAATTCGATCACAATAGATTAGAGAATTAAAATTCTATAGTAATTCCATAGTAGTAGTTGTAAATAATCTATTAAGATTAAAGGTCTCTAAAATTTAAAACAAAATATATTGTCTCAGAAAATGAATCACATTAAATTTGCTAAAAATTCCATAAAATAATAAAGAGTTATTTTATATAAATTTAATATAATATACAGCTATTTTGTATAGGTGTCCATAGAGGTACTTATAGCGGTCTTTATTACCGCAACCTCTGGGCATAGACAAGTACATTGACATTTTTAAATTCAGAAAATTAGTTTTACAGAAATTACGTAATCTAATATTTTACGCTCTCCCAGGGCCTGTAGTTATATTTAGCAAAAAGTTACTCGTTCTAAAAACTGAAACTCGAAATTTTGACATCTATACCACAAAAAATTCATTAAAAATATTTCATTTAAAAGTTTGTTTTTATAGACTTATCTGTGCTAAAAATCCACTTGTCTTTATAGCTTTCCTTGAGAGGTCGGTTAAAAATTAAATTAGGTTAATTTGAGGTTGATCTTTTTTTATTTAATGTCATTCAATGGTATTTCTTAAGGAATAATCACAAATCTATGATTTATCAGTGAATAACATTCTTTAATTTACACTTCCTTTTATTGATTTTTTTCATTGCATCCGGATTGCCGAAAATATATCTCATATGTAATATATAAATAATTAAACACTAAAAACAGGATAATGATATCTACACGCAATTTTATTACTTTAAGAATGTGATCTGTAATCATACAAAAGCATTCATTGGACTAGAAATATTTTACAATTTTTATTTTATGCAAATAATATTACCGTGCCAATATTTGAAGCCTGTTATTGTTTTTTAGAACGTAAACTGTGCAAGGTTATGTGAAAATTATGAATTATTATTTTCTGAAAAACAAAAATGAATTTTCGCGGTAGTTTGCATATCAGTACACTTCGCTTAGCATGTTAACATCAGAAACCTTCTCCTAGAATGATATTTCATTTTTATGTGCATACGGATTTAAATGTTGCGCCTTTTAATCTGTATACAACTCTAAATTTTCAAGAAAATTATCTCAAAATTTAAGATTAAACATCTCAGTCAATTTTTCTCATACAGGTGTCAAATGTTTTGTGCTTTCTTTTTCAAAATGAATAT